GACGTCACATGACCACTGCACACATGAGGTCACAGAAGCTATGACCAGACATGAGGAGGCGCACTGTGGACTGCTGTCTTCTGGACGTCACATGACCACTGCACACATTAGGTCACAGAAGCTATGACCAGACATGGGGAGGCGCACTGTGGACTGCTGTCTTCTGGACGTCACATGACCACTGCACGCATGAGGTCACAGAAGCTATGACCAGATGTGAGGAGGCGCACTGTGGACTGCTGTCTTCTGGACATCACATGACCACTGCACACATTAGGTTACAGAAGCTATGACCAGACATGAGGAGGCGCACTGTGCACTACTGTCTTCTGGACGTCACATGACCACTGCACGCATGAGGTCACAGAAGCTGCGGTGACCTGCACAAGACTGTGTCTGTCAACATTCTGTCATGGGAGGGGAAGGGCTCTTGAAGCCCACTTCCCCTTCAGCTGCCCTATGCTATGCATGTTTGCTAAGGGAGGAAGAGATGTTGTACTAAATGTACAGCCACCGGTAAGTTGCTCGTCTATCCCTGGGTGAAGAACTCTCCACCCCTGCTCATACAAGCAGCTCTAATCAAACTCAGTGTGTCACAAAAAAGAAAGTAGATGGGAGGGGCACTTAGGAAGAAAGGGTTCAGTGAAGGGGAAGGGAAATAAAACGTGATACAGGTTTGAATAGGATCAAAATTGTGCACATTGTGTGTGTGCGTGTGTGTGAATGTGCGCGGGAGGGGGAGATGGAGAAAGAGGGCTGCCTACTATTTAGGCCAACATCTAAAAAATAATTATCTGAATAGTTATGCTTCCCTTAGAACATAAGCTAATGTAGAAAGGCTGGGCCGCAGCTCAGTGGAGAGGCATCTGCCTAGCGGCCCATGGGTAGCACCCCACTACCACACACAGAGACCTTGTGAAGACAAGGTCCACAACCAGACTCTAGAGAATAAAGGAAAGGAAGCAGGCCACCAGACAGGAGGACAGTGGCAGCAACGGGCGCGCTGTTGTGCTGGTAAAGGAATAAGCACCCCAAGACCTGTCAATCTAGCCACAAATCAAGACAGAATGTTCCCTTATGCTATACAAAACCCTTCAAGATCTTCCGAGGCCTGCAAACGGACCCTTTTCATTTTCTAGGCACAACAATATGAAGGTGGTGGCTAAAACGTCCCTGTTACCCGGCTCCCTACTCTCCTTAAAGCACATTTCTTTCCCGACCACACTACGTGCTCCCCACCAAGATCTCACAGTGCTCCACCAGGAATATCACATGCAGTGTGAGACGGATCGGTTGCCAACGTGATGGAGAGGACAGATTGTTCAGAACGTCTAAGTTCTATGTGCAAGCACCACTATTTACATGTTTAAGACTACATGAGAAAAAACTGTTGGAAAGTGGCAGGAGACAAGAAAAAGAGCATTCAAAGGCATGAGCTAAAATTAGCCCCATCATAACTATGGCAGCTTATTGGAAACTGTTTACAAAACATATTTATATAGTTCAACTTCTTTTGTTCATTACAAATAAAACAAATTTATAAACTGATGCTTTTCTGCATAATAAAATAAGATCATAAACTAATCATGGAACAAAAATTTAATGCTACACAAATATTGACTTTAGTTTTTATAAACTATTAGAACGGCTTTAACTCATCAGTCAATTATCAAACCAGAGTGAACTTCTTATATAGTTTTCTAGACAAAGGAAAAAGATATAAGAATAGGGAAGTGAGCACAGGCCACTCCAAGTGCTTAGGTGGATAAAGGTCAAAATCAGAAATAAAGACCAAACTTGAAGCCAGGGAAACCAAAACAAGTTAACAAACTGAACACATCAAGTCAGAATTAACAAAGCAACAGCTAAAGCTAGAAATGCCAGGGTTTGTGAGGCAGAGACCCTCCAGTGCTCGTGGGAGTGCAAGGATGAAGGCAGTGTCTGGGGAAGCTCGTTCTAACCGCTGTGTGTGGGACGAGCTGGGAAGGGGAGGGATGAGAGGCAGGAGCAAACAGCTCCACAGTCCACAGTCCAGAGCATGCGAAGCCTGCGGATGAAATGCTCAAGGGAGCTTCAGGTCTCAGCACACAGTGAAGCATCCTGCCGGTGCGGCCAGATCTGCACAGGAAATCCGCTGGCGCTTCACAGACACCTGTGTTCACCTGCAGTCTATCACGGGAGGTCAAGGGCAGCACTTTTCCCTGGAAATACGTGATAGAGTCAGATTTTGGGAGATTTCAGGTTGGGGAGCTAGAGAACAGCAGGCGCTGTATCTACAGAGCCTGCTGAGACGCAGCATGGGAAGGCATGGCGGGAACGAGAAACAAACCAGACAGCAGCAGTCCTTAGTGAAGAGAAAATGAGAAGGCAGAGAGGTGCCCTCACGTTTGTACCTCATACTGTTTCCATGACCACCTCATTACTGTCTTCAACACATAGATAAACCTTTTAGGATTTAATTAGGTATTTAAATCATAAGCATAAGTATACCAATCTCTACAGAGTACTGCACCATAAAGTGAGATAATCTACATTAAAGGAATTCTAACTATAAAAGCTGTAACTATAAAGGAACATTTACCATACGAAGCTAAAGACAAAACCATCTTCTGTTAAATTCTCTTTGTTAAATAAATAAACAGTATGAAACCATGACTGTTCGAATCCCCCAGTTCTTGTTCAGTTTAGAACAAAGGCTGCAGAAATAGAGCTACAAACAAGCATCTGAAACAGAAATAACTTCAAAAGAAATCCTTCAGAAACTCAAGGACAATCCTACCAAACTCAGTACACAGAATAATACATGCTATGGCTATCTCTACTTCTACAAGGACCCTCCCAATCTTACTCAAGCCATAAGACACATCCTAATAATTGACTCATACAACATGGTCGTGTATGTTCCAAAATGAAAGCTACTGTGAAACCATCACAGTGAGTCTCAGGACAGAGAGGAAACCATCACAGTGAGTCTCAGGACAGAGGAAACCATCACAGTGAGTCTCAGGACAGAGGAAACCATCACAGTGAGTCTCAGGACAGAGAGGAAACCATCACAGTGAGTCTCAGGACAGAGAGGAAACCATCACAGTGAGTCTCAGGACAGAGAGGAAACCATCACAGTGAGTCTCAGGACAGAGGAAACCATCACAGTGAGTCTCAGGACAGAGAGGAAACCATCACAGTGAGTCTCAGGACAGAGAGGAAACCATCACAGTGAGTCTCAGGACAGAGGAAACCATCACAGTGAGTCTCAGGACAGAGGAAACCATCACAGTGAGTCTCAGGACAGAGGAAACCATCACAGTGAGTCTCAGAACAGAGAGGAAACCATCACAGTGAGTCTCAGGACAGAGAGGAAACCATCACAGTGAGTCTCAGGACAGAGAGGAAACCATCACAGTGAGTCTCAGGACAGAGAGGAAACCATCACAGTGAGTCTCAGAACAGAGAGGAAACCATCACAGTGAGTCTCAGGACAGAGAGGAAACCATCACAGTGAGTCTCAGGACAGAGAGGAAACCATCACAGTGAGTCTCAGAACAGAGAGGAAACCATCACAGTGAGTCTCAAGGCAGAGGGGAAAGTTATAAACCAAAGGACTACCTGAGAAGGACCCAATGTCAGTTAAAAAGAATTAAGCCTGCATATTTGACACAAGTTAACCTTCTTTCAGGATTTAATTTAACTTAAAAACATTAATATCATCTGGTTGCTTTGATTCTAGATGGAATACAGGTATTGAGTTGTGTTTTGTGATTTTCTAGATTAAGCGTTGTGTTTAATTAAGTTCAGTAGAACAAGCTTTGTCTCCCAAGCCACATGCTGTGTCCTCTCCCTCTGCAGCATTTTGTTCTATCTCTCCTTGTCTGAATCCTGCAGTGGTCCCATTACATTAGCACTACGTCATAAACGAGGAAAACCATGCTCAGTTTAGTGTAAGTTACAAACAAGAGCCAGGTTGCAAACTCCCGTCTCCTTTGAGGGCACTGAATAAATTCATCTCAAAATGAAACACCTCTATCTTCTGTGGTTACTCCTCGGGTAGCAGTAAAACCAAACTAACCATAATAAACCAAAGGTCATGGTCTGGGTAGAGTGCCTGACTCCCTACAAGCAGGAAATGTTCCACCTTAGGTGTAGTCAGCAAAGGCAGAGCCCATGTTTCTACCCAGAAAACACAATGTCACACACTCATCCTTCTAGTCACCTTGCATCAGGCACATGGACATAACTCTACTACCAGCATGGTATTCCCAACAGACATCAGAGGAAACAGTGAGAAACTGAGAATGCCCAGGTTGATCTGGGCAGCAGGAGGCAATAGCAACATGAAGTACCACAGCTAAACCTGCCAGTGTGCGGCACAGCAGAGCCATTTTTAGCAATCTGCAGCACGACATCTGTCACCAGACAAGCTTCATGTCATGGCTGGTTTTTAGTTTCCTTTTCTATCTGGTTTTTCTCAGTTCTGATTAGCTAAGGCTAGAACCCTCCCAAGAATCTGGTGAATACATCAATAAACCTTTGCTGGGTGGGGGCACAGGCCTTTAATCCCAGCACTCAGGAGCAGAAGCAGACAGATCTCTGTGAGTTCAGGGCCAGTCTGGTAAACAGGACAAGCTCCGGGATAGCCATGGCTACATAGAGGTACCCTGTCTCCAGAAAACAAAACAAAACAAAACTCAGTAAGTTTTCAATCAGTCCTTTTTCAGATTTCAGGCTAAAATAGTAACCTATAACAAAACAAAACCCACTAAGGAAAGCATTTAGTAAACAACAGCAGATAACCGCACTTTATCAAATCCTATTACCCTAGTATTTCACTGCTCTCATGTGTACTTTACCACCGTGGTCCTAAGCTAGCATCTACTCTACATTTGACAGCGTGTCCAACAACAACAAAAACCGAAATCAGGTTTCTTTACCTCTTTCAAAAGCAACTCACCTAAGAGTTATGTTCACTGGGTTTCACAGTAAACTTATTTGAGATGGCTTACCTGTCAGGAATACCTAGCCTCTTGACACTTCGATAAACAGAAAGAGTGTTTGCAACATGCCGGTAATTGAACCAGAATCGGGAGGTGCACACCTAAAGATAAAAAGGAGACATGCATTCACGAGTCAGACCATGGCTTACAGGACTATGTCCCTTGGAGTCTATAGAAATGCCTGAAGAAAGCATCTCAAGCTTAAGACATCAAAGAACCTTCAATAAAACCAATATCCCTACAGGGAGGCTTTTGTAACTGCTATTAAATAAAAAGATCACCCAATGGAATAGAAAACAACCCAGGTCATCTCCATTTCTGTGTGTCTGTAATGTTCTATCTCTAACAGATTCAATTCTTTAGAATCAGAGAAAATGTCTATGGTCTCCCCACAGACTAGATGCCCTCCAGGATGTAATATCTGCTTCTCGATTTGTTTCATTTGTTGTGGGAAGTGAGACAGACACAAAATACAACCTATAAAATAGCTTCATCCACACGTGAGAAGAGCTATGTTATTAGGTTAGTAAAAACAGCAAGCAAGTCAACTCAATTTTTCACTTCAAATAAAGATCATTAAAAATATCAAGGGTACTAGAGAGGGTCGGTCTGGAGAGATGGCTCAGCTCAGCTTGCTGAGGACCCAAGTTCAGTTCCCATGACCCAGGGAAAGCCGTTCACCATCACCTGCAACTCTTGATTCAGGAGAACCAGCGCCCTCTTCTGGTCCCCACCGCAGTGCACTCAGGCACAAGCCCATATTCAAACACACACACAAAGAAAAAGAAAAATCGCTTTTTTTAAGTTACTGGGAAAATCTAGTTCCAAGGAGACGCACTGAAAGGTTAGGGTCAGTTACTGTATCTCCCCCCCACGCCTGTGGTCCCAGCAGAAGTGACAAACCTGACAGCAGTTTGTAGGGCTCGGGGCTCTACAGAGCTGTTGTGATTTCTTTACTACTTAGAGTGAATTTTCATCCTATAATGCAGCAGGAGCACACTGAAAGTTCTGACCCTACTAAACATATATAGCCCAATCATACTCATATATTTAGGTATGTATTCACAACTCTTCCAATAAAGCACTGCTGAGTAAAAATGGAAATAAATAAGATAGATACAAACCATTGCCAAAGGCCAACAGTTTCCCTAACTTGAAGTTTTTAAATTAAAAAGAAAGTACAAAACAATTTACAAGAAATTAACCACAATGAGGCCAAGATTTCTACTGCACTTTTTGCAGAACTAAAGGCCTTTTATGTCAGCTCTTTACTTAGTAAATGTAAAAACTGCCCTAAGCTTCAAACAAATTACCAGGGAATAGAAAATAGACAGGGAATAACTAACTTCATATAAATTATTTTCTACAGCTATCGCTTTAGCAAATGTAAAATCAATTATAAATCAGCATCAGTAGAGCATTAACTAGTCTACAGAGAACTCTAATTAAGAATTTTTCATTTCAAGCATTAAAAGGATTCTGTGTCTGGTGTTCCTCTGAACAACAGCACTCAAATGCAGTCTTTACTTACAAACCACAACTTGGAAGAAAAATGAAAAGGAAGGAATATTAGTGGCTGCTGTTAAGTTCTTTTTTAAAAGTCAAAGAGAGAGAGAAAGAGAGAACCTCTGTCTCAAAGAGAGACAAGGTAGGGTAGGAAAGAACAGAGAAGAAGAAAGGGAATGGGGGGAGGGTTTTCTCTATCAAAATTTTTATTTTTAAAAGGTAATTTTATTTTCAAAAATTTAACTCACAATTCACAACAGTTTTGAGATCCCTATCTAATATGCGCAGTGAGATCTATCTTTAAAGTACATACTTACCAAAACAGCCCAGTTGTTTGTGTGTCCGCTTCTAAAGAACTGCTCTGCTTGTTCCTGCAGGGAGATAAAGGTGAAATGATTAACACAGACACACACTTTAAAAACATGCAACTCCCCCAATAAACAGTGATAATGATATCTAGGATTCATGGGTGTTTTCAATAGAATCTTTGGATTTACGTGTGTGTATGTGTGCTTTGCCTGTATGTAGGTGCACTGCGTGCATGCCTAGTGTCCACAAAGGTCACGAGAAGGCACTGGATCCCCTGTGACTGATGTAATAGATGGCTGTGAACCACCAAGTAGGGACTGGTAACCAAACCTGGGTCCTCTGGAAAAGCAGCCAGTGCTCTTAACCACTGAGCCATCTCTCCAGCCCCTCATGGACTTTAACTGCAATAGCAATCATGATCAGTTTATGAAGATACTGTATTTGACCTCATGAGCAAAATAATCAAACACACACTAGGAACTACTTTAAGGTGATGGCCCAGCAGGTCTGAGGACCTAGGTTTAATCCCTGACTCACATGGCAGAATTGAGTCCCATGCATTATCTTCTGGCCTCCACAGACATCCCATGGCAAAACACACTCAAATATATAAACAAACACAAATTAATTAACTAATCTTAATCAATTAATGTTAATGTAGCTTCTAAAAGACACTGTTTCAGAGCACAAAGTCCTAGTTTAACAGAGAAACTGGAGCTGAGAGGTGTGGTCTTGCTTGAGACACCAAGTAGACAACGCACCTTTAACTCAGACACTGACTCCTGGGCTGAGGGTAAAAATCAACAGTAGAGCATTTGTCTAACATGCAGTGGCCCCTGGATTTAATCTCTAGCACTAGAAAGCAAGTAAGTAAATTAATCTAACCCCTTCCACACACTCTGAGCAAAAGTATTGGCAATCCTACATCACGGCGTCACTTACAGAGTGGCAGAACGTGCACTGTCCCTGTTAAACTAGAACGCACTACACGGGCATGAACTTACATTTTACTCTTGTGCAAGGGATTTATCTGTTGAAAACATTAAATTAACATTTAAAATCACAGCCTCACAACGCCATTTTCCTCACGATAACTTATTTTCTCCACAGTGCTCCTCATACTTACTGTATGCACTGCCACCCCCTCTTCCAGCAGGATCTAAGTTCTAAGGGACAGGGCCTTTCAGCAAGCAGATGCGCTGCTGCAGTCCAAATTAGGATTACAGTGGGCTCTGATCAAATATTTATGAACAAATGAATATACTGTCTACACGACGCCATGCCAGTGACGAAAACAGGAAACTGAAGCCTCATGATGAGTTCACAATACAAAAGAATCCTATGCAAAAACTGTAAGTAAATCACTAAATGTCAAAATTCTCATTAGGTTATTATTAGTCTCTCTGTGCTATGAGAAGATCAGGTGGGATGGTGACACCAAGAACCTTTCTATGCAATGAGAAGTTGAGGTGAAAACGGTCATGCCAAGACCCTCTCATGTGCGATGAGAACACGAGGTGGGATGGTGACACCAAGACCTTCTCATGTGCAATAGAGACAACATGGAAGCAGTTACTCCAAGAACCTCTCACCATTTATTCCACTGCTGAGCATAACAGTGCCCCAAAGATAGCTTTGATCCCAAGTATGAGATATCATATCATCTCCCTCCTTCCTTGACCCAAAAAAAAAAAGAAAGAAAGAAAGAAAGAAAGAGAGGAAGAGAGAGAAAAAAAAAGCACCCTTGAGTGACATGGGATGTCCTTCTATAGGTGTTGCTTTATTAGTTGATGAATAAAGCTGCTTCAGCCTGTGGCAGGGCAGAATAAAGCCCGAGATATAGAGAAAGAGTAGGCAGTGTTAGAGAGACACCAAGTAATTATTGAAGCAGAAAGACCCCAGAACCTTACCAGTAAGCCACAATTTTGTAGTGATATACAGAATAATAAAAATGGGTTAATTTAAGATGTAAGAGTTAGTTAATAAGAAGCCTGGGCTAATAGGTCAAACAACATTGTAATTAATATAGTTTCTGTGTGATTGTTCGGGTCTGGGCAGCCGGGAGACAAAACGTCCTCTCTGCATAAACCTGAGTTTCTGACATTCTCCTCCAACTCAACTCTCCTGCTGCTGATCTCTAAGATCTCTGCAATACAAGCACGCTTTAATACATGCCACAACATTCCACACCAATGGTCAGGAAAACAAACATGCTAGAGCATCACAAACACTGCTGAGCTTTTCTTTCAAGCTTTCAATTTCTGTAGCTATTCTTGCAGGGGATGTTTACTGTGGGGCTATTTGTTTTAAACATTTTATCTGAAACAAAATTTTTCCTCGCATGTTTCCATTTTCCACTCAGTCTTTACACTGCAAATGATTACATATATGTGGATTCAAGTCTTTCCTGTTAAAATATTGTTCAATATCCGAACTTAACTATGTGCTGAATACTTCTATTTGAACTCACAAATGTATCTCAGACTATCCTCTGACTTAGGGGCATGTACCACTGCAATGTTTGACCTACATTTGCTATTTCTGCATATAAAAACTTCAACATACAATATCATCTTCCCAACTAATGAACACAATTTTAATGACACAGTGTTCTGTTTGCTTCTCTGTTTCCGTGATTAAAACGAAGACCAAAAGCAACTTGGGGAGGAGAGGGATTGTCTTATACATCACAGATATTCATGAAGGGAAGTCAGGACAGGAACTCAAGAAACTGGAGGCAGGAATTGAAGCAGAGGCCATGTGGGAACACTGCTTACTGGCCTGCCCCCTTAGCTTGCTCACCTTGGTTTTCTGCTTGTTTTATTTTTTTTTCTTTTTAATACAACCCAGCACCACATGGAACTGCGCACAAAGAGCTGGGCTTCCCACATCAGTCATTCCTCCAGAAAATGTCCCCACAGACTTGCCCACAGGTCAATCTTACAGAAGAGTTTCCTCACCTGAGCTTCTCTCTTTCCACGAGAGCTTGTCTCAAATTGACAAACGCAGCCAGCACACACATTGGATAAAGACGGGTGTGCACAACATTGCATGCACCAGCCAACACGCACACTGCATCATGATGGGTGTGCACAACACTGCACTCACCAGCCAACACACACACTGCATCATGATGGGTGTGCACAACATTGCACTCACCAGCCAACACACACACTGGATCATGATGGGTGTGCACAACACTGCATGCACCAACCAACACACACACTGCATCATGATGGGTGTGCACAACATTGCACTCACCAGCCAACACACACACTGCATCATGATGGGTGTGCACAACACTGCACTCACCAGCCAACACACACACTGCATCATGATGGGTGTGCACAACACTGCACTCACCAGCCAACACACGCATTAGATCATGATGGGTGTGCACAACATTGCACGCACCAGCCAACACACACACTGGATCATGATGGGTGTGGAAAACATTGCACTCAATGAATTAACTGCTCCGAACAGCACTTATCACTAGAACAGTCACCAAGTCCGAATTCAAACCTGGGCTCTTCACTCCTGGCTAAGAACCATTTAGAGAGGGTGCTTACCCTTCAGGTCTTTATTCCTGGGACAGTGACTGCAGCAAAGTGACTGCCTAATACATGGCAACTTCAGGTGTCTGACTAGCGGGAAACTTTCAGAGACAAACGGTTCCACTCAGGTGTGAGAATAGATCCGCCACAACCACCACCACTACCACCACAACCCCCAAAAACTTAACAGCTGCCTAGACACCAAGGAAAGCAAAAAAGCAGGGTGCTATTGTGCATACACACTAGACAGGGATTTGAAAGCCTGAGCCAAAATCTAGCTGCATATAACAGGAATACAAGTCACAGTTCACACTTTAGACTTGAATTTCTCCAAAAGAAAAATGAGATTATACGTAAATAATCTCTAGTGTATTTTCCAAGCTCAAAATAGTTACTCTATTACAACTTTACCAACAAATCTGAGGGAGGTAACACAGTTATTCACTCAACATTTAGTTAATGGAGTACCTACTATGTGCCATGGACCATGTAATATTCAGTGAAATCACCAAATAGCATGCTGTTTTCTCTCGAGAATGTCAGAGTTTAATTCAGATGAATGTGTAAAGGCATCACACTTCTGTGTAACATCTATTAATTCACTATATTCATCGGACATCTACCCTGGTGTATAAAATAGTACGTCACGGGGCTTGCCACCAAAGGCACACTTTAGCAAAGAGCCCACCACACAATTTACGAAGCCAGCAAATGTGGATATTGTAATTGTAACGGGAGGATAAGACTTTGTCGGGGAACGTCTGTCTACCTAAGCAACATTTTGGGTGAATACCCAAAGGATGAAAAAAAAAAAAAAGATAAAATACAATTCCAGACAAAGAAAATTTGAGCCAATGGCAGAAGGGGTCCCAGTGGTTTGAGAAACTGGCAGTTTAATATATCTTGACATTTAAAAAGGAGCGTAAGAGACTTCAAGAAGGGGGCCCTATGGGTCCTGACCATGTTAAGGTACTTTTGAGAGGCACGATCGGGTTAGCATTCTCAAAGTTACTCCTTCCACAGCTTAGAGAACAAACTGAGGACCGGAATCACTCCGAGCACGGTTAGGGAACTACAGCAATCTAGGTGAGACAGAAAACTTTGGCGTGGCGTTTGTGTAATGTCTGCCAACTCCCCGGGTTCCTGGGCCAGCAGGACAAGCAGGTCTGAAAAGCATGTCATAAATCCAGATCACTTCGTCTGGAGGGTCACTGGTGAAAAAACCAGAAAGGAATCAGACGCCCCGTGGGCTCAGAAGCGGGAGGGCGGGGCCGAGGGACAACAGCGTGACCACGACAGTCCCCAGGAAGCTCGCCCCGCCGGTCAACAGGAGCTGGGGGCTTGGCCCGCGCACCAGGAAGCTTTAGAAGACCGGATTGGATCAGGTCGTCGTTCAGGGCCGCCGGGTCGGAAGATGCTGCAGCGGGCGGCTTCCCTCCCGTGCACCCCACATCTCAGGCGCTCGCAGCACGACACACGTCCTCCCCGGCTCGCCTCCAGGGTCCGATGCCTACCTCGATGTGGCCAGCGGCGGAGCTGCGGGGAGACAAGAGCGCCAAGGCGGCCAGGGTAACCACGGGCAGGGCGAGGGAGCAGGGGGCCGCCATGTTTGCCGGCTTCTCGCGCCCCGTACGGCGGAGGGGCGGGGCGAGTGCCGTAAAGCAGCGCGCTGTCGTGCGTGCGTGTATGTGCCTGTGTATATGTGTGTGTGGTGCGTGCGTGTAGTGTGTGTCTGTGTCTCAGTGTGTGTGTGTGTGTGTCTGAGTATCAGTGTGTGATGCATGTGTGTGTGGTGCGTGTCTGTGTGTGTGTGCATGTGTGTGTAGTGTGTGTCTGTGCCTCAGTGTGTGTGTGTGTGTGTGTCTGAGTATCTGTGTGTGATACCTGTGTGTGTGTGCATGTGTGTGTAGTATGTGTTTGTCTCTGAGTGTGGGGAGGTGATGGGTTTTGTATATTTTATTTTTTGTTTTGTTTGGTTTGGTTTGGTTCTGTTTTGTTTTTATGAGGAAGCACTCACCTTCCTCTCCTCTGGTTCCAGAACTACTGGGTCAACCTAACTGAAGAGTATTTACTTAGCTGTGCTTCTAGGTTTGTTTGTGTAAAATAGACACGCTATTTGAGGAGAAACGTTTTTAAAAGTTAGGAGGTTGGGATCTGTGGACCCACAAATTTTGCTGTGTCCCTTTTTATCAAAGGATGATAAAGTGGAAAGGTGCTCACTAGGATTTGTTGACTGCCAACCTAGCAGAAAAAGACCTTTGGGTTCAGTGAGAGATGCTGCTTTAAGAGATGGAGACAGAAAGAGGTAGATGACAGCTAACATCTGTCTCTGGCTTCCGTAAGTGGGCCACACCACACACACACCACCACCACCACACCAAACCGCACACACACCATACAGATGGGGCATAATACAGTATTTCTGGTCATTCTGTTTGCTATAAAAATACGTGTCTTAAGGTTAGCACTGTGCTATTTTGATCATTCTTGCTTTGAATATTGTTTTGTTTTTTTGAGACAGGGTCTCATTATGTAGTCCTGCCCGACCTAAAACTAGCTGTATAGACCCAGATTAGCTTTGAACTCACAGAGTTAAGCTAAGTATTTAGTAGTATCCTTTCGTTTCATATATACAAGCTTTTGTTTTTAGATTTGTTTATGTGTATGAATGTTTTGCTTGCATACATCTGTATGTGCACAATGTGTGTGCAGTGCCTGCAGAGGTCAGAAATGCACATCAGATCCTCTGGAACTAGAGTTACAGGTGATTGTGAGCCACCATGTGGATGCTGGAAATGAAATTCCAGTCCTTTGCAAGAACAGCCAGTTCCCTTAACCTTTCTCTCTCTCTCTCTCTCTCTCTCTCTCTCTCTCTCTCTCTCTCTCTCTCTCACACACACACACACACACACACACACACACACACACCTCATAAACAATAAAAGCTGTATAAGAGTTGTGTCTCTTGACAGCCATAAGAACCCTAAGACAAACACCATTATGGTGGGGGTGGGGAGATGTCTTGGTGGTAAGAAACAGCACTTACTGTACAAACACAAGGATCTAAGTTGAAGTGTGATCCTAATTGTCTTAACAATAAGAACCCAGACTCAGATATCAGGGGTGAAAGCTGAAAGGTCTCAGAAGCAGAGCAGCCAGCCACCAGAGACTTCTTACTTCTACAAATCCTCAGACTGAATGGGGGTGAGATCAAAGGTGTGAGCCACCACCTCTTTTCCTCTTTTAGATGCTTCAATGCCCTGTAACCCAGGGTAGCCTTGAACTCCTGATCTTCCTGCTTCCTCCTTAGTGTTGGGATTAAAGGGGTGTGCCACCCCTGCCTGGTTAACTAGTGACTAGCTCCACGCTCTAATCTCCAGGTAAGCTTTATTTGTCAGAACACAAACAAAAAAAATCATGCAACACTAAGTTGGGACCCCAGTACCCAGGTAAAAAGCTATGCATGGCCTCATGCACCTATAACACCAGCACTGGGTATGAAGTGGGGAGAGAAGAGGATTTCAGGACCTCATCGGCCACTGACCTAGCCCAAAACAGTGAGTTCCAAATTCAGTGGGAGACCGTAACCCAAGGGAATAAGGTGGAAAGTGATAGAGGCCCTCTTCTGGCCTCCATGGTGTACACACACCTGTACATGGACGTACAAATACACACACATGCACATACATACGGATGGATAGATAGATAGATAGATAGATAGATAGATAGATAGATAGATAGTAGATAAATAGAGTAACACAAAACCTAGTTGGTCTTAGTAATAAAAACCCAGAGTCATATATAGGGATTAATACTGAAGATCAGAGAGGCAGTACTGCAAGACACTAGAAAGACCTTTTACCTCTACCAATGCTCAGACTGGATGGGCCATCCTGTCCTCAGACTGTCACCTCAGACTTTGTCCTCTGACTGCAGAGGCAATCCTCAGACTGCAACAGTCTCCACCAAACCTCAGACTGTACTGGGCTCCTGTCTCCTCTCCTCCTTATATTCCTCTCTCTGCCCAGCTATATCACTCCTGTCTCCACCTCCCTAGTGCTGGGATTAAAGGCATGGGATCCCAATTGCTGGGATCACCTTTGTGTGAGCTCTGTTTCTCTTTAGGACAGATTCAATCTTGAACTAACAAAGATTTCTCTGCCTCTGTCTCCCAAATTCTGGGATTAAAGGTGTGAGCCACCATTCCTTGGCCTCTAGTGGTTTAGCGCTACACTCTGATCTTCAGACAAGCTTTATTTGTTAAAACATTAACAAAATATCACTATAGATAGATAGATTGATGTGGGATTCCGCTCTGCATGGTGTGAATATCAATGGTTAATAAAGAAACTGCTTTGGGCAGAGTTAGGCAGGGGAAACTAAACTGAATGCTGGGAGAAAGGAGGTAGAGTCAGAGATAAGCAATGGAGCTGCCACCGAAGACAGATGTGCTGAAACTTTGCTGGTAGGCCACAACCTCGTGGTGATGCACAAATTAATGGAGATGGGTTAAGATGTAAGAGTTAGCAAATAAGAAGCTAGAGCTAATGGGCCAAGCAGTGATTTAATTAATACAGCTTCTGTGTGATTATTTCGGGAGTCTGGGCAGCCAGGAAATGAGCAAGCAACCTCCTCACAACAATTGATAGATAGATAGATAGATAGATAGATAGATAGATAGATAGATAGATAGATAGATATAGATGAATGATATGGATGGATAGATACATATGTATATAATGAATGTGACTGTAATATTTTTCTGTCAACATACACTTACTGGGCATCTGCTATATACCATACATTGTGCCTGACATGAGCAACACAGAAGAACAAGGTTTTTCTTCTCCTGACCGAGCAAGTTTCTGACCTCAGGACCTAGAGGAGCTAGATGCTGACAACAAAGGCATTTAGCTGAGTAGAAAAGGCTAACGGGCATTTCTAGAGGAAGATATAACCACTTAAGAAAAGCCGGAGGATGTTTCCCAGAGGAAAAGTGTTAAGCTGAGATTGATCTGTTAATAAAGCAAATATGCAAACAGAAAGTGTCAGAACAAATGCAATGCCTGGGGTGCACACTCCACAGCAGAGGGGTATTCAGCTTCACAGAGGAGCTACTAGAGTATCACCAGACTTCATGTTCAGAGAGCAAAACAAAGGCTGTTACAGAGGAGGCTGCATGGTGACGTAGGTGCCACCTGTCCTCAGGGCTTTGAGGGTCCAGGGATGGGTTTTGATGTGTATCCTATGAGCCTGGAAGCCTTCATATCTGTTCCAATAAGGAGAATGGACGCAAATGGAGCATTTGACATACTGTTGCAACAGTCCAGACAATTGCATCTTAGACCAGAGTGCTAAATAGAGGTAATGAAAAATGGTGAGAATCAAGAGGGGCTTTAAAGTACATTGCAACCAAAAGAACAAAAGGATGGGTTACATTTTGGAACAAGAGAGGGGCCAGTTCTAGGAGGGTACACATGTATACATCTATTTGTAATTGTAACAGTATATTGTGGGGATACATGGCAAGAGGTACATGTGCACATGTATGTACATGTATATAGAGATCCAGACAGAAACCTCAGGTGTCATTCCTGGGAGTCACCTTGTTTTTGTGAGACAGGGTTGTAGCAGGGGGCTGCTTGTTCACTCCCAGCAGCTCAGGCCCAAAATAATCACACAGAAACTACATTATTTAAATCACTGTTTGGCCAATAGTTTAAGCGTATTTCTGACTTACTCATATCTTAAATTAAGCCATTTCCATTATTTTATATTTTACCATGAGGCTCATGGCCTACAGGCAGAGTACCAGCTGGCAGCTTGCATCTTTACCCTCGGCGACTACATGGCGTCTTTCTGATTCTGCCTTCTTTCTCCCTGCATTCATTTTAGTTTTCCCTGCCTAGCTCTACTTTGCCCTATCACAGACCAAGCAAGCTTCTTTATTCATTAACCAATAAAGGTAACACATATACAAAAGGACTTCCCACACCACAGGGTCTCTCATTGGCTTGGAGCGCAACAACTTAACTAGGCTGACTGGCCAGTGAGCCACAGTAATTGGCCTGCCTCTGCCTCCCCAGAATTTGGGAGCATACCAGCACACCTGGATTTTTATGAAGGTTCTAAGGACTAAACAGGGGTAAAGAGAAGACTGAAATATCTTTGGGATGTCTGGTCTGTCCTAATGGACAAACCATACTATCATTCTTTCAAACACTGAGACCACAGGAAGAAGAGTGGCCCAAGTCTGGGTTAAATATGACCCAAAGCAATATGGAAAACAAATGCACCTACATCCATAAAAAATACCTTTGTGACTACTAAATAAACTTTACAAAGTAGCGTGTGTGAAAGGGTAAAGTTTAATCAGGACCAATCACAGTCTCTGAGATTTTCCAATGTGCTTTTTACTGTGTAGCCTAATTGCCTCAGAAAAAATCTATTTGCTACAGCAATCAGAACCCAAAGAATTTAACTTAGGGTTATCATATCTAACAGCCAAAATATTTCCTTGATCAGGATTAAGTTCAAGAAAAGAAAACTGTATGTATACAATAAAATACAAACACAAAGAAAGAATCAAAGCAGGCTGAGTTCCAGCGTATCTGCTCTGTCTCACGGTCTGACT